AGACTGAACATTACGATCGATCTCGACAGGTGAGTGGTTTATCTAATGATGTATGTGTGTGTGCAGCAGTACATATATTATGTAACGCAGTGCTCTTAAAGGTTTTTGATGTGATATACTGCTTTCATTTGTTCGTAAGTAGCAAATGTATCTAAGGCCATTTTTTGATTCTTATGCTACGAGATTTAATGGTAATTCATTGACTTATACATGACTTTCAGAAGTGATGTACTATTATTTTTAAATTGCTATAAAATCCTTTATCTGGAGATTGATTGATTGCTGTATCATTTGCCAGCCCTTAAAGTTGATTAATCTGTTGTCTGAAAACAAAATCTCAGGCTAATCTACGTGTTTTAATTACCTGGTTCGTTGATATTGATAATCACCTGAGAAATTGTTATATATTCACGTAATGCTACTTTCTAGTCGGTATTATAACAATACTGAATATTGTAAACACATAGATATAAATTCACATATGTGTGTGAACAAGTACAAATTCGTGATGATAGAGTGATTAAATAGTAATAATTATTCAGTCTATTTGCTTTTATTTCAGTCGGAAGTCAAAAAGACTCAGTTTGAATACATACATAGTTTAAGGTTACTTCATCATATGGTACGTATTGTTCCTCCTTCTGGACAAAAGTAGTAGGTAGGGAAACAAATTCAAGGAGGTATGTTTGTTGCTAGTGATTAAACATTCTAACTCCTGTTTTTTTGCCTTACATATTAAACATAAAGTTTAGTTTTGTTTAGAGATTAGTTTGCCATTGAAATATTTCCAGAAGCTGGCACACTCAGAGGACATCTGACGATAGGTAAAGCCTAAATTATTGGATTTAAAACTGACAGTTTATGTCACTTTAAGTGAGTAAGATTAATGCTGCATTTTTTTTACGTACATCACATTTCCAAAACTAGTTTAAGTGCAGCTATTTATTGTATGTAGTCGAATTATATCCTTGAGTGCCTTGAAGTAGGCCATCAGAGAAGTTTATTTAGGTTTCAATTTAGTAGTGCCAATTATGTGCTTTCGAAAATCTGCGACTGGTGTTCAGAACGCTTCGAAGATTCATTTGGGTACACTCTTAACATTGCTCAAATATCCTTAAGTTAATCAATAATAATGTTGATGAAATGACAATGTTTTCATTCTAATATCTGTCCGAGTGACAGAGTTCCCAGCAAAGTAATTTACGGGCGTGTCTTACTATCATGTTTGGTTTTGTGTTTTTTATGCATAACCTTTTATTTTTCGGCTAACAATTACAATAATGATTCCTTTTTACACTATACCGGATTTTCTTGAGTGGCGATTCAATTTTGACTAGCAACTCGTAAAACCAATGGGTTACGAAAGATGTCTCGAATCATTCAGTAATCTACATTTTACCTCTATGAATGCCATACCTCCAGTATTAAGTCAAACTTGCCAGTGTTTTGAAAGTTTTCTTTCCATAAACAGTTGATTGTTAAGCAATGGGGTTGGTATTTTAGAGCTTTATTCCAAATATCACAATGGCTTAGTGATAAACTCACTCTGGTTTAGTACAGTAGAAGTTCAATATGAGATTCTCTCACTCTTTCCCGAAGTTTGAGATAACGATCACAGAACTAACGGAAAATAAGTTTATTCTAAGATTCATTTTTATGGTTATCCGTCTTCGAATAAAAGCAAACCTGCAGGAGCAGTTACATTTGATAAATTTGGCTTCCAATCAAAAAGGGATAGCTTTGTTGCAATCACGTTGATACTTCTTTTGATAAAATGTCAATTGAACGACAAAAGCTTCGTGAAAAACGTCATTAGGTAGAACATAATAAAATTGTATTAGGAACAATGGGGTCCTTAGATGCTCTGTCAAGTTTTTTTCAGTCTAATCATAGTGAATTTAATCGGACATAAACATGACACACTAATGCGTAGTGAGTTAACTTAAACGAATAATTTTATATATTATTGTTTCCCATACTCTCTGTTCTCTGATTTTTTTTATCACCTCTTCTCTCTAATTAATCATTCGATGTTCAACTGCTTTACCTATTCTTATTACTTGATTTCATTAGGTTTTTCAAAATACCATTTTAGTGTGTACATTTCTATCTCTCATCATTCATTCACTTCCCATTATGAAACATTAATTCAAACCTTTACAATTCTTATCTCAACCAGTACATTTGTCATCATACTATAAATCATGCTCATTTATTTAATCTGCTTTTTGTCATTAGTGATTCACAAAAATTATCTTGACTGGTTAAGTATTTTTATGTATGTAGATAAATCCTACTATTCATTGGAGTAAAATCTGGTCTAGTGATCTAGTGGAGAACAATGTTGTCCACTTACACACGTTGCTTTTATTCACCTTGTGGAGATTTTCGACACTTCCGTTTCAACAATAATATAATGAACAACTATGGACGCACAAATTTAGCCTATTATTATAAGCATTCATTGTTATGATTTGAAGAAGACTATAAAACAATATAATTTCAATGAATAGATCACTAAAAATTTGAATCTAATTTTATTAATCTTGTTACATGTCCAAGAACAACCTTTATTCATCATAAAGTCTCATTAAAAACACATTCACATAATTAACTTGTCTAAATCTGAACAACAATTTAACAATCTATTAGAATAAACGATATTATTTACAAAAACTAAACAGTTTACCCGATAGAATGAACAGAAATTAAAGTTAACTAAAATCTCACAAGTAAAAAACACTTTCCTATTCATCATTTTCAACATCTAAATAAAATGTTACTAATAATATCGTAATAGACTAGTTTGTTACATATTTGTTCTATCAAAACTAGATATCCTAATAATAACAATAATAATAATAATAATAAATCTTGCTTTGTGCATTTCAATGTCACAGTTATTTCATTGTTATGTGATAGAGTTCATACTACTACTACTATAAATAATAGAATGTTTTCTTTCCAAAAGATTATAAAGGTTATAAACCATTTAATGACCTCAATTACTTTTTATAGTTTAATTATTTTTTAATCATTTCACACCGTTTGTTTACTTTTAGATGACATTCTTACTTTTTTTATGTACTTTTACTTACTGACTGCATTCTTTAGTGAATTATTATTGCCGTTAATTATATCAGTGACATATAAATAAAAGAAAAAAAAGCGACTTGATTCTAATGATAGTAAGCATTTACTAAATATAAACAAATATTTATTTATATCAGAGGCGGTAAGCGACTAGCTGTGGAATAAAAGAATGTATATTCCGTCTTATTTGTGACCTATCAGGTGGATCTACCGGTATCTTAGAGTTGATGATCACTCCAGGGCTCGAACCCATTGTTACTTTATACTACTAACACCATCATGTTATCCATTTAGCCAGTGAGTTCAGTTATCTAGGATGTAAATATGTCAAGAAAAACTAATCAACCATAGTCTTAAACATCAGTGGGAAGATTTAAGTAACTAATACAAATGAAATGTTCATTTTATAGTTCACTATTTTTTTTATCCCCGATTATGTTGTAAACTGAAATTTTTATCAATTATTCACAAATAATAGGGAGACTTTTTAATTTATTCTGATCATGAATTGATAATAGTAGAAAAAGATGGAATAAATTTCATTCACATAGTTTCGTTTATCATCTTGTACCAAAACATGGCAGAAATCCATGAAGTCATTGACGAGTGGACTTAGCCATGTCGGTAATTTTCGACTACCTGGTTGGGGTCCGTGAGATGATTATAATCGATGGTTAGAGACGCTGAATGACATGGCTCAAAATCGTTTGCAATGGCGCAGGTGCATTTATTCTTTGTGTTCTCTCAAATCCTAATCTTCTGGATTCTTCAACACCTCTAGTTTTGACTTTCTTAACTTTTCTCATTTAATCATACTTCTTGAATGATATCTTCTAATCCTAACCTCTCGGATTACTCTAATACCTTTACTACCTCTTCTACTATTGGATTTGAATTGACAATTACATCTCTGTGCTGATGTGGTATGGCGACATGAAATGATGTACTTATGTACGAAGTTCTACGTTGCATCTGACTGACTGACTGACTTATCATCTTGTAGTGAGCAAGAACAAAGATTTGAATAGAACAATATGAATTTATGTCATTTCGTTTGATTTTGGTCAGCTGCTTAAGCCTTTATAATAATATGTTAGGCAAGATAATAATGAACTGTTGTAGTCAATGCCTCATATTGTCTTTCAAAAACTTGTGCACCATTGGGAGTTGTTTGACAGCGGTTTGGTGGACCAAACGATATATTATTTCTAAATATTAACAAAGTTATTGAATACAATAAAATCCATGGCGAAATATATCAGTTAAATGTTATGAACACAATAAAAATGTATGGACGTTACTTAATGCGATTGCTTGTAGATGTTCCGTTGCGTTTGGTACCAAAAATCCACAATTATAGGAGATTAGTAATCCCAGTTATATGTTCCGTCGTAGAATAGGATATGAATATGACTGTAGTCTATAAATGTAGATAATATATGCATTAGAATCCAGATAACACATTAATGAGCAACGGAGAACGCGAAATATGTGTATAAAGTGTATTTGTTGGGAGAAGAAAGCGAATGCCGTGCTATGTGTACAACCGAACGGAAAAAGGTGAGTAGTCAACGCTACTCGTTTCCAAGGTAACACACTTGAACAACATGTACAATCATTTAGTAGTAAATGTACAAGCAGTGAAAAATTAACAGAATAAATACAAAATAAGTTTGTCATACCAGAAGTAATTTACAAAGTTTAGTAGCTATATCGAAGAAATTCCACTAGACTAGATTACATTTTCTAGATCGTTATACACTCTATTATATTTTAATTACTTTCCTTTGTAGTAAATAAAATGTTCGACTAGTTCTTTTTTTTTTAAAAAAAAAAATTCATATCCATTTTCTTATTTATTTTAGGATATCTTTTGTTTAAAATCATTGAAAAAATCTGCCTTATAAATGGATGAAACATCAAATATCATACATAAAGCTGTCACAGAATTTGGTTGTATGAGTAATGATAGTAAAATTGATCGATATATAAATGAACATTCGTTACGTTTATCCGATGCTCAAAAATGGTTATTGAAAGTAATTTTTATCATTATTGAGTAACAAATTATTTTTTCCAGAAAACTAAAGATCATCCCAAAGCTTACTATATAATATCAAGTCCTGAAATGCAACTTTTAGCTAATATGTGCTATGCGATTAATGCTAAAAAGACAATTGATATTGGTAAATACTTATTTATTTCTACTAACATATATATATATATATATATATATATATATATATATATATAAGTCGAATATTTATATGATACAGATTCTTTGTGATGGGTAGATTTTATCTAGTAGAATTCATAGCCACAGTCATTCATACTATTTTTGAGAAATTCACATCCTACCTAAACTTACAAACATTTATTAAAAGATTGGGGCGGCCAGACCAAAACATAACAGAAATCCATGAAGTCACTGACTAGTGGACTGAGTCATGTTGACAGATGTAGACTACCTGGTTGGGGTCCGCGAGACGAAAGTCTCCGATGGTTAGAGACCTAGAACAACATGGCTCAAAATAGTTTGCAATGGCGCATGTGCATCCATTCTTTGTGTTCTCTCAAATCCTAATCTTCTGGATTCGTCAGCACCTCTACGTTTGTCTTTCTAACCTTATCTCATTGAATTATACTTCTTGAATAATATCTTCGAACCCTAATCTTCTTCATTACCATTAATATCTCTACTATCTTTATCACTATGGGATTTGATTTGACATCTGCGTCCTTGTGCTAATGTGGTATGGCAACATGAACTGATGTACATACATACGTAGTTCTACGTTGCAACTGACTGACTATTAAAAGATCGCTTTATCGTATTAGGTTTTCGTGAGTTAACAAGTGATGCATTGTTTATAAATGCGTACTATGTATGCAGCTACGCTGTACGTAGGGAATTATGTGTATCGAAATTCCATTCAAACACCATTCGATAATCATGCCGAAATTCACCAGTCAATCAGAAAAATGGTTAAGAAATAAGAGATCAGACCAGTAGGGGACACAATTAAATAAAGTAAAAAGCATCATGCTGACAGAGTTATGGATTACAGTCGACAAAATTCCAGGTAAACGAAACAAGCAATGATGACTGAATTTCGATAGCTCATTTTTCTTTAAAACATGTTCTTACAGTCAGTCAGTCAGATGCAACGTAGAACTTCGTACGTAAGTACATCACTTCATGTTGCCATACCACATCAGCACAGTAACAGCATACGAGACCAAACTGGTCGAAATCAAATCCCCCCTACATCCACACATACCTCTCGTATCTCCACATGTTCTTACCATGTTGTTCAAATGGATACAGTTTAAGAAACGTATATTGAAGTTAGACATTAACATCATTGGATGCCGGCTTGGTGGTTAACAGGTTAAGAATTTATGCGTGAGACTGAATGTGCTGAATGGAATTTGTTCTTGTAAAGTCATAATTGAACGCTCCTGTTTTCCACCATACTAGAATAAAATGGCTGTTCAATGCTTCCAGATTTCCAATGCAGGTTTAACATTGATTGGTTCATGCTTTCTACAAGTTGTACATTTAACTAGCTTTAACGTTCTAAATGTATATACTTTATCATTGGCTTGTTAAAAAGTATAATCCGAATGTTTTATCTTTTAAAAATATTTGTGTATAGGAGTTTATACTGGATATAGTGCATTGTCTATAGCTGAAGTATTACCATCAGATGGATGTGTATTAGGTTTAGATATAACAGATGAATATTTGAAAGATTATTGTATACCAGCATGGAAAATGGCTAATGTAGAATCGAAAATTGATTTTCAACTTGGTGATGCAACTCAAACTTTACGTAAGTAAAATATGAATGTAATATTTTATGTGATTTCACTTTTATATTCATTGATGTAGTGATAACCAAAGCAAGAAAATAATTTTTTTGCTGTTTAAATAAACTGAATATAACTAAACTGCTTGATTTTCGGCCTTGTATGCGACTTTGTTAAGAGTACACCATCCGGTTATTCAAGCTTTGGTGTGCATTTGGTCATAGGTTCAAATAAAATCACGTTCTAGCATTTAAGTTAGTCAACTTGAAAACTTGAGTCTGTGGGTTGTCCCCCATACACCACTTTGCAATGTAGTCTGTCATAAGAGTTCCGTATGATGTTGAATGTCACCTCACGCACACTGTAATGTCGAAGAAGTCTCCCTTGTGTCACCATGTCCTTACTTATTTTGCCTTTTGTGTGTATTATATCGTAGGTTGAGCCTATTTTGCAACTTATTGGTCAGTCAGTTACTTAACGCTTTATATTGTAAAGTTAGTTAACAGTAACTTGTTTTTTTTCGTCATTCGGGCCATGAATCATTCGTTTTGTGTTGATGACGACCACTTCAAGTTTTGTTCGGTCTTTCCCCCAAGGATTAGGAATATGAATTCATAGGTAAAAGTGAAGATTACGGAAGAATCTACCATTTTGATATCTGTGTTAGCTCTGACTCTCATTAAGAGAAGTAATGATCATATTTTGATGAATAATCTTTTGGTTTTGAGTGCGCGAACGGTAGGAATCAAAGAAGGGATCCAGACACAGTTTTAAAAATAACATACTAATTTATTTGAAATCATCAATCAATGATTGTTAGACCACCATTAGAAACCTGGAAGCATTGGACGGCCGTTTGGTCCTGGTATCGGACTCTTCAGCAGTGCACATCCACGACTCCTGCTTCTCGCAGGATTCGAACCCGGGACCTCCAATATTGTGCGCGAACGCCTAACCATTGGACCACTCGGCCGGTAGTTACTGCGTACACCCGACAGGGTAGAACTCCACTGGTCACGTCTTCTCAACTAGAACTCCGAGAATTTCCTCACGAAGCTAGTCACTGGTGAGCACTGTTACGATATTTTGGGACAGAGTTTTGGAGGTTTGTGTTTTTACACACTTGAAAACACCGTTGGATACCGGCCCAGTGGCCCAATGGTTAGGCGTTCGCGCACAATATCGAATCCTGCGAGGAGCTGGAGTCATGGATGCGCACTGCTGAAGAGTCCCATACCAGGACCAAACGGCCGTCCAATGCTTCCAGATTTCTAATGGTGGTCTAACAATCATCGATTGACGATTTTAAATGTGTAAAAACACAAACCTCCAAAACTCTGCTCCAAAATACTAATTTATACAAAACGTTGATAAGTTAACTAACTGAAGTATTACAACATGATTCTATTCGAGCTTGTTCAGAAAACTCTAATCTATAGATTCAATAAGAGTAGTTCAGAAATTGAAATTCAGTACAAAGCTTGTATACATGGACATATATGGTTGAAAATTAGAAAAGTTTTACCATCTAATTATTGACTTTGGAATATTTGTTTTAATTTTAGAAAAGTTGATTGATAATGGACAAAGTGAAACATTTGATTTTGCTCTTATCGATGCTGATAAACAAAATTACAGTAATTATTACGAATTATGTCTGAAACTGATTCGACCTCGTGGTATAATTGCAATTGATAATGTAAGTGCTTCATTTCATTGTATTTTAATTAACTGTCATTGTGGACTAACTGTTTCGTGTGTGTGTGTGTGTGTGAAGACATCAATGAACAAGGGTTTAAAGTACTTGATGAATAGAAATTGATTTGTTGAATCCAATTTTCCGAGATTCTTTAACTTGGATTTTTTATATCCGATGAAGACTAAATGAATGATAAATTCCAGAATTAATTTATAGACTATCGTGGTGGAGATTGGTTCTGTGAGCTGGATTTTTCAGTTGTAGAGCTTTCATTGTTCATCTTAAAACAAAGTTATCAGCACAAACTTCATGTATGACTAGTAGCTTGTTCTGTTGACCCAGATCTTAAATGGTTGTTGTTGACCTTAAACCTGCCGTTGTGTTCCTCTTGATTTTGATTTTATCCCCCTTGATCTATGATTTTTGTGAAAGGTTGATCAATTGTGTCAATGTCATTGTTTTAATTAATGCTAACAATGGCTTGAGTGCCAAGCTTTTAAAAATTCTCTAGTGTTCTTTGTGTTCCCTCTATCCAGTATTTTCACACTGTTCCATTCGAATGTATGTCCATAGTTGTTCGTATGTGTTGACAGAATAGGAGAAATGTCATGGAGTTCGACTGTTAATTGATGTTCACTTTAAGCTACAAATTTTCTCCACCATTTCGAAATTATGGACTATTACAGTATGTACATCCTTAACTAGATTATACTTAAACGAATGCTGCGGGGTGCAGGAGTCTTGGATGCGCACTGCTGAGGAGTCCCATACCAGGACGAAACGGCCGTCCAGTGCTTCCAGGTTTCTAATGGTGGTCTAACATTGATCGGTTCATGGTTTCACAAATGTGTAACTTAACAATCTTCACAACCCCGTAATGCAAATTACCTGTGCTAACTAGTGACTAGCTTCGTGAGGAATCTCCTCCGAGTTCTAGTGGGAAGACGTGACCAGTGAAGTTTAACCTGTTCGGGTGTAGACAGTAACTACCGAAGACTGTGTATGAGGTTGCGCAACTCCGCGAATTTGATCAAGTTAGACATTAACACGTTTGATACCGACTTAGTGGTCTATCGGTTAGGGCGTTCGCGCACAATACCGAAGGTCCTGGGTTTGAGTCCTGCAGGGTGCAGGAGTTGTGGATGCGCACTGCTGAGAAGTCCCATACCATGATGAAACGGCCGTCCAGTGCTTCCAGGTTTCTAATGGTGGTCTAACATTGATCGGTTCATGGTTTCAAAAATGTGTAAATTAAACATAAATGACTCAATAACTGTTTTTATACAATTAACTAGTCCCAGTTTGTTCTTGTCTATTGTTTGTAGAGTCTCATATTCATAGCCACCTTTTGACTTGTTCAAATATAATTGACATTATTTTCTACTTTATAATGATAATCGTAATATACAGTTAAGAGGTTATTTATGCAACAAATGATATTTTGGATATGAACATGAATTGATATCCAGCCATGACACCAATTGTCATGTATGATTAATTTTGGCATGTGTGTACTTTTATTTCATACCCGTAGGTCTTGACCAGCCTTTGAACATGTTCTAATTAATCCATTGTTCTCGCGTTTTCCACACATCTTCCAACCTTGCCAACTATTCGCTCTTATCTTGGTTGTTTTCGCCTGAGTGTGTGTATGTGCCGCTTACTTGGCTTATTATAATAGTCTGGCTTACTTTTATCTGAATATGATTGTTTAGTCATGCTTCCTCTCAAAAGGAGTTGGGCCCCTCCGCTTCGCTTCGCTTTGCATAAGTCTAGACTGAATGATTTTTCTCAGAAAAATCTGAAATAAGTCAACTTACTGATTGTTGTTAACCTATTGTATCGGTCAACTTCGTCTATTTTATGCGCTATGAGGCGAAACGTATTCAGTAAACTATGTCAACTTGACATGAATATAATTATTATTATTATTATCAGTTAAATTATCATGAGTCACTACCTAAGGTTTTTTAGAAATAAAAAGGTCGATCCATTAAATGTGAAGATTAGATGACAATAAATACCATATGAATTATGTTACTCTTAGGTTCATGAATAAAATTCAGACATCTAGATATCAATATAACTGCACTAAATGACAGTTTGATAGGTTTAATAAGTAGAACTGTAATTTATTCAACCAGCGTTCATCGCAATATAAACAGTGTTCATTTCAATTCAATTTGTAAAGGTTGATAATTTAGCTGACATTGTATGTGGATTGCTTTGAAATAGCCGTAATAATTAAAGTTCATATAGAATCGATAGAATGTGTCTAGCACACCTGGTTGATAGTGGTCACATTGTAGAGAAATCTAGATCTTTTCGGGTGATCTATCGTATACCTCCATCATTTCCCAACGGAGTTCGATCCCGTCTCCTACACATTGCAGAAGCCATAGGAATACGTACATTCAACCCTAATTTATGTGTTCAGAAGAAATTCGTGACACCCTTATCTCTTCCGTGGCCGGATATGACGTAACTAATGATTGACATTAGATATTTTTTATCTTATTTTATTTTATTTTTATTTTTACACATTTGCTTATTACGTAATGGTTTTGATGTTTTTAATGATTATTTGAAGTCTATTCATCCACGTTTGACCTACTAACTTTAGTTATCATATTTTATAATTTTCTTACTACTATCAGTACACTTGTCTTCCTACTATCCACTTGTACTTTTGTCTATCATATGTAGTGACGTAATCTCTATTTCATTTCATTGTGATTATCACTCAAATTGCCTTGATTTGGTGTAACATTTTCATATATAAATATTCATGTATATTAGAGAGTAAATAACGATAAGTTCATTCTATTGAATTAATATCGAGTAATATGCTTGTAAAGTGTATCAATGTTCCTTAAGTGCACTGCGCTACTTAAGCGCAAACGATGACGTATACTGCAGAAATCTTGTGCGATGATTCGCTTTCTGTACGTTTTGAAACAGGAATCAGTTAGAACAAAGACTGAAGCTGCAGACAACACTGACGGTAGAATACTTGTCATTTAACCTCTGTCAAACTATTGAACCATGAACTTTTCATGGTGAAGGCTCGTTAATGTATTCTTAACTCAACGGACAGGGCGGACGGAGAAGCTAACGAATAGAAAATCAATGAGAAATTAGCAGTGACTTAAGGCTACTAATGTTTGTTGACGTATCATTGGTTCGTTCTCTCAGGTGCAGGGTTATCGAAGTCGATATTCTGATAGATGGTTCTGTTGCACGATATTAGTGAGAGGCTATTAAGTCATACAATGTGTACATTTCTTCCGTAACAGTATGGATTCTGTCAGAAACGTGAATAATACGGTCTTTCATGGTTCTCGTTACCTTTTCGTCAACATATGATGAATAATTATTTTCCAGTTCTGCAATTTAAAGCATGAAAAAAGAGCTGTACCCACCAATTTACCAATACTAATAGTTTTAACTAATCTAGTGAAATGACTTTTGTTTTGTAGAAGGGTATGTTTTGATAATCTGCATTTTAGTTGCATTTTGTTTGAAACTAGGTACAAATACTTCAAATTACATAATGAAATAGCACTAATCTACGAAGGTTCATCCAGATTCGATAAAATATTCTTTTGCACTGATAAAACTAGTGGCCCAGTTCTAATTGTTAGTAGTTCTATGAAATAAATAAATACACTTATGCTCAGCATATGATCATGATAAGAATCATGATAATTGCGGAAATTGTGAATCGTTCATTCACCTTTCATTAAATATGTATCGACGTTATTTGAAAACAAATTTTTAGAAGAAATTGTTTTTTGTTTACTAAACTTCTATTATGATGTATGATATGATTTTATATATTAATGGCTAACATCGAAACCCACAAACCATGTATCATCCTATTTCTGACTGGTCAGCAGGATGTACCCGCATCTTAGAGTTAATGCTTGCTTACCTTGCGACTTGAACCCAGTACTTTTTTTTCTCTTCAAACGCTATCGCGTGAAACCACTTAACTACTGAATTCAAATAGTCAGTAGTTTGTACAATAAAGTAAATATTCATTCATTTGTATTGATTGTTTGAATTTTCCCATTAATGTTGCAGAATAGTAATTGATTAATCTATTTAGTATATATCTGCATCCTAAATGCAGATTACCTCAATATTACCAAAGGGAATAATCAATTACAGTCCTAGATTATCCATAGGAGAAGATTCCAATAATCAATATAAATGAATCATTGTCTTTTGATTTAAACAAATAATAGAATGTTATGAGAAATTCATCAAACTGAACATGATAGATACATTTCCTGAATAGATATTATCAAAAATTTCTTGTTTTGCTATTTAAGTAAAATAATTCAATATAAATTTTTTATTTTCTTTGGACAATATCATACAGTAATACAAATAACAGTAGAAGGGGAATAATTGAAAATAGTTTGAAAATTGTTTTGCATATGAAATTTGTTTTGAATTAGATTTTTCTGTAGTTAAAGAAAAGTCCCATTTGCATATTGTTAGTATATGTATTAGGGACGTATTATTTTATGGCTCTCCCCAGGGTGTTTCTTTCATTGTATGAATAAGCTTGATTTGTGTGCTTAGGAATCTCGTATTTTCTTGGTGCTTGTAGAATACACTTTTCTACGCCTTATCAAGACTTCTTGATATAGTTACCGGAGCCGGGGACAAACGGACTTGGCTGGCCTATCGTGTCATTGAGTCATTGTTCTTCGTTGCATATACCGAGTAAGGTGAACTCGTAATAGCATTCAAGCATATCAGTAAGATTGTAGAGATTCGATTCTTGCCTACACGGTCGTGAATATTCACTGCTTATAAATTCCATAATAGAACGAAATGATCATCTAGTTCACCCAGGTTTCCAATGATTGTCTAACAGTGATCAGTTCAAGATTTCATTGATATGCATGAGTGTTCCACACATTCTGAGCATACGTAAGCGCAAAAATAAAAGTATCGTTGAGGTAATTCTAGAAACATGATTTTAGGAGTATAATCAAACATTTGTTACGAACAAGCTAATATTAGGTCGTGAATAAAGATTATTCTGTATGAAAAGCTAGCGGAAGCCAGGAAAGGAAATAAAATAGTTCCGTACTAATAGTCTAAATAATTTGTCCAACTAGTAAGATTTGGAGGCCTGGCCTTGATTCTCGTATGAGGATGTGGGGTTCATAGTACTAAAGAATATGTATCTAAAATACACTAACTGTTCAATGTGAACTTCTTTTCAATTCATCTGCACTCGAAGTGAGTCAGTGATAAAATTAATCTTTGAAATATATATGAATATCTTGACAAAATCACCTATGTGAATAATACTCAAAATTTTTTATTTTCATCCCTTTACTTTTACAAGGTTATCTGGTCAGGTCTTGTAGTTGATGAGACAGATCAAACCTCAGAAACTCTTGGTATAAGGCAAGTGAACGACTTAGTAGCTGGAGATAATCGTGTACGAATCTCTTTATTAAATCTTGGTGATGGATTGACAATTGTTGTGAAAAAATGATTCTTTTGATTCGACAAACATAAACATGTACTGGTACTTATGTATGTATGTTAATAAAGACACATGGATGTTGATTTAAAACAATATTCATTTTTTTCTGTATAATTAACATAATTTAACTACATTTACTGTTGTTAAATTGTAATTTCACTTTTTCAATCTTTATGTCTTTATAATACAGTACTTTATATACAAAATGAAAAGAAAGTATATCATTTATATAATGTTGAAGTGCCATTTCTGACCTACTACACTATAGTCCATCTATACTAAGCGACTATTTATTAAAAGGTCTATTTATCGTATTAGATTTTTGCGAGTTAACGAACGATTTACTACGTATCCAGACACGTTGTAAATAGAGGGTTTTGTTTATCGAATAATCAAAACTGAATGTTAGATCTTTACTTCATCAACATTTTTAAGCATTTTAAGTTGATCTGACGAATCAGGAAGTGGAAAAATGCACTGAAAATATCACGAATTATGTGATTTACAAGTAATGAGTTTGTCGAGATTAGTGATGGTCCTATATGTTGGAATCTATAATTTTGGTTTCGGCTTTATAAAGATATGCGATTGAGACTATGGCTTATAGCTTTTGAATAACTGCTTCCTTCAATTAATGAGTGTGTTGATGATCAATTATGAGACGCAAACATTTTATTGATTATGTCGACATTACAGCTAGTTTCATGAAAAATAATCAGTTGTAAAGTACTTTTTTATCAAAGGCATAGATCATGGTCACTACTAATAACCCTAAAGTATTATTTATCCAACAAATTGATAAAAACAGAGTGAATTTAAACAAATTTTGATTGTTTTCTCACAGTATGTACAGAGAAAGATTGAAGTAATTGACATATTTTACAGTATCATTTTCATTCTATAATGGCAAACGAAAATTTTTATGGCATTAAATATTCTGAGTATTATACAATGGTATTCGAACTGCTTCTTTCATGTGATGTATAATACAATTATTATGACTAGTCCCTACATCATTGTTTCATAGTCTCGTTTATTAATTCCTTTCTTACTTACTTATTCCTATTACCTCTAAGTAATTATTTGAAGCTGTTTTGGCTCCTCGCTTGGTCTCTACGTCCTCCATGGTCCTTCTGAACTTTTTATTGAAGCAGATGAGGTCGATTCGGTCCTGTGTAGTGTGTTCTGGTGAAGGCTCTTTCGTGGAAATACGATACTACCTATGACAGGTTTGTTGATGGCACATGGGTTTGTGAATCTCCCACCGTATTCGTTCCTTTATCCTAGTCAATGTCGTCCCATGACGTCTTTATATCCAGTGTTGTCCATTCCATCTTTGACATTAAGATCATTCATCAGAATGTTCAAGTCCTTTGTTGGGTATTTCTTGACGACTAACCACAGCCTCTCATAGGACTGATCTTTGTCGGCCTCGTTGTTATTGTTGGTAGGCAGATATCACTGGATGACAGGCTTTATGCTCCTCTTTTTCTTTGTTTTGAAGGATTATTTGACGATCCTGAGTCCATGGGATTCCCATCCTATCAGTACTCTTTGCAATTCTTTAGACAGCATCACTGTAACTCCTTATGTATATGAGGCATTTTCTTCTACACGGCAGGAGTACAATAGCATCTCCACTGAAGCTAGTCTTTTTTATCCTGACTACTTACAATGTGTTTCACTGATTATGAATACTACTAGGAATTAGTTTCATTTCCGTAGCAAAGTGAATGACTTTTCCGGTCTCCCACATTGTGTGGACATTCCTTTTACTTATATTAGTGGTTACTCAGATTTTCGAGAAGGTGAATCGGCCTTGTGACCTCTGAAGAAATTTGCGTTTCATCATGAGAAGTGGTAACTCTTCTAAATTGAAGACCTTCCTACTGCCAGAGCAGACTTTAAATAGTTTGAAATATTTTCTCTGGTAAGCGTTTTTTAAGCGAACTGAATATCTACGGGATATGGTTGCTACCTTCATGCCCAACCCACCTTGGGACCAGTGGTAAACCTAAAATGACTTCAATCTTAGTTAGGTTTGTTGACAACTAGTCACAAACAACTAACTCAGTGTGTCTCTGCAAAAATGTTAGTAAAATCATTTTAATGTTGTTAAGTTATTCTCATAAACTTGTACATTCAAACAATTTATTTACATAAATACAATGAAGTTTTTGAATAAGGAACTGTTTGTTCTAATGCTTCTTCTGTTAATATTGAAGGTTTTATCATTTGAATGAGGTCAAAAGGATCATTGACTATATTTGTATTGGTTGTCTATAAATAATTAATTTGTTTAACAAATAGTAAAATTTATTTACATATGACATCGATGTGTCCATAGTAGACCTTAGGTATAAGATAAGGATAGTAGCAGTCCATACGGGCACCGGAATAAGTCAGTTTACTCAATCATCCTTAAGTGAGACACTTGATATTTATCACTGACTTTAAGAAACATGCATTTTGCCAACTAAAAATGTTTGCAGTTGCTTCTGTTACAATCTGAAGTACGAAGCAATCCATCTTGGAAATAATTAAAAACAACTATTCGGAATTAATACGATAAGTCAGCAAACTGAATTCAAAAATTCACAAACCTTTACCTTAATCATTTGGTAGGTCACAATGGTAATGCCCTGAGAATACTGGGTAAGAACCACCTTAGGGTGCTATTTCCAATGTTTTTGACAAGCGTAAACAAATTTCAGGTATTGGAAGTAAGGATATTTGTTCATGCATACCGAAGCCATATTTCTAGTGCTTATTGATTCAGTTTTGGTTCATTCAGACAGACAGATACAACGCAGAACTTCGTACGTAAGTACATCAGTTCAGGTTGCCACACCTTATCAGCACAAAGACGCAAATGTCGAATTGTTGTAAACGCGGCTACGTAAATCTTCTGTCCTAACGGCGTCCAATTCAAATATCACAATACGACCCAAAAGGCTTTTCCAAATCTCCTAGAAATCAGAACGTAACACTGTGGAAGGAAGATGTTTATTGGGTCGAAAACAGAAGAAGAAGTAGGCAGGGGAAACGGAATTATTGAGTCTTCCAGATAGCGCGTATTTATACACTAAGGTCGAATAAGAAAAAGCATCAACGTCCGTGACATTGACAATTTAGGACGACCAATAGAAATGAACATTTAAATGACATTGACCGTCCAGATGACCAATAAGAGGTAACATTGAAGTATTTGACCCTGAGGGTAAGAACGATCAAAATTTCGGCCAATAGAATTCGACCAATAGGATTGCAGTTCTAAAAATAGTATTCTTAGGATATTTGGTGAATATCCTAACACGAATCAAATCTCATAGTGATAGAGATAGTAGAGGTATTAATGGTAATGAAGAAGATTAGGGTTCGAAGATATTATTCAAGAAGTATAATTCAATGAGATAAGGTTAAAAAGACAAAGGTAGAGGTGCTGACGAATCCAGAAGATTAGGATTTGAGAGAACACAATGAATGGATGCACATGCGTCATTGCAAACGATTTTGAGCCATGTCACTCAAGGTCTCTAACCATTGATGACTATCGTCTCGCGGACCCAACCAGATAGCCTACATCTACCAACATGACTCAGTCCACTTGTCAGTGGACTGTTTTGGTTTGGCCGCCCATAGCTTTCTTCCAAGCTACTCCTACACTACAAAACATAGCTCGTCGAGGCAGTTGGTGGTTAGCCATACGTAACGCATGTCCCATTCACATTAACTGATGAAGTTTCACTACTTCATCTACTGATTTGCCAACCCTAGCTAGAACTCGTTTCCTAACGACAGCATTGCTTACTCGGTTGTCCCAGGATATACGAGCAATGCTTCGGAGACATCGACGACCGAAGACGACTTCGCCCTCAGACCTGGAGTAGCTGCTTTTAGTCTCATCGTTCTCCAATCGACCTGCCTGGCATGGTAGAACCTTCAGGAACATAAGTTCCAGCCAATATAGCTCGGTTGGGTCATCACGATAGGCAAGCCCGACCACCACATCAAGGGAGCAGGTTCTGTTGGGTCAAAATCAAATCCTTTGGTTCATTCGTTTGCGTTGTATCCAATTTCCCGATTCATACTAATATCATAGCTAATAACGGAGATCAAATGAGCAAACTAATGTGTTTGTTAAGGATAAATAATGTTCTGCGCTAGCAGTTGTGACTCATAATCATTACTAATAAATCTATATATACTACACAACTATTTGGTTTCTCGGTTTTTATTTATTATCATTAGGGTTTTTATTTCTCTTACTTTTCTTTTGAATTTCTTTGACCATAAAGAACTACATTTATGTTGTTTTAATTGACGGTTTCGTTAAAGTGGCTTCCACAACGGTTCGTTCCCCTTTTTTGATTATGTTGCTTTATTTCGCTAAATTTGTGCATCTTTTGATAAAGAATTAAAGCACACTTTCAAAACTTGAAACTGTATTATAACAAGTTGTAGGATTTAATTCGTCCTAAAGATGTAATCCAACGCTTTCATCAAAACGGTCTTCGAAATTCCGTATGAAACTCCAATAGTTCATGGGATTAGCATGAAACCTTATGATTTCTCTCTTGGGTAGGTCTAAAGCCTTAGATATCATTCTTATCCAGTTCTTTCCAGCATTAATATCAGCTGTACGTGAGGCAGATGTAGATTCGTACGATATAACCTTATCATCCTCAACTTGGTTACAATATCCTCTTCCTCTTTGACGTAACCGTTCTAACTCAATTTCTCTTTCTGTCTGAGCCAGACGAACTTTAGCTAATTATAACTCTAATAAGGGATCCATCCGGAAGCTATTTCTTCCAAACTGGTCTTCACTATGAGTTTATGAGTAGTGGGGAGACAATCCAGGGATCTGATCAGTTTTATGATTCTCGGTGGACATTGAAAGGTACTCAATGTATGAACTTCTGATTAGGTATTTGTCGAAACTTTGTAGGATTTAATTTGTCCTACAGATGTAATTCTAGAACGGTAAACGCAATATTGGCGAACAT